TTGAACATGAGCATCTCAGCTAGGGTCTGCTGCTTATTTCTGCCCTTTCCTTCTCCAGACATGAACCCTCATATCCTCACTGACGTGGTTCTGAGAGCTGGAGAGTTTGGTGGATGGAAAATAAGGTTGAGAATGATACATATTAATTTCGCCTGCACAAGTGTGAATGTGTGTGTGTGTGTGTGTGTGTGTGTGTTTGTACACTGTGAATCTGGTTTTTGTTTTTACTTTTATTTTTGCTTTTTCAAGACAGGGTTTCTCTGTAGTTTTGGAGCCTGTCCTGGAAGTAGCTCTTGTAGACCAAGCTGGCCTCGAGCTCACAGTGATCCACCTGCCTCTGCCTCCCAAGTGCTGGGATTAAAGGCATATGCCACCATGGCCCAGCATGCTCTGTGTGTTTTTGCTTCATCAAAATTGTATCTCACCATCATAGGATGGAGGAAAAGCATGCTCCTTAGAGTTAGAGAAACTAGGAGAGCAAAGCACGCTCTCTGAATTTGAGACACCATTTGACTTGTTTGGATGTCAGCTTTCTTAAGGTATCACTTGAAATCAATGGTTAACTCATAGAGTTGTTTTATATTACTCAAATTAATGCAAACAAAGTGTTTAGAGCAATGTTCTGCACATAGCATGTGCTCAGTAAAACTGTTTGTTCTCAAGGCAAATAGCTGATATCTTTCAGTAGGCAACCCTGCCTCTGAACTCACTTGTTTACGAGTCTCTAAGACAATTCTTCTACTGTTTCTTCCTAGATAGCATCCCTGTGTTCCCCTTCTATACCATTTGTCCCCGAAGACCCCTGAAGCCTTCAAACTATCTCTATCTTCTTTTCTTAGCGATCAATACCCATTACACATAGCTCTGGATTATAGACGTCCTGGTGAAAGACGTTAATGGAGCCTGTCAAGCCACAGCACAACCACTTCCTTATAGAGAGGCACTTGAGTCTCCTAAAAGCCTGACCTTCAGTTAGAAAGTGATCAGGAAGCTTCAAATAAGCCCGAGAATCTGATCAATATTTTTCACTCTTTGGCTGTGATTAGCAGAAGGACATCAGTTGTCACCAATAGTCTACCACAAAGCCAGACACATCAACTAAGAGTCCAGCATTTCTTCACATTGACCATCCATTGCAGATCCTTAGGATGAAGGTCAAGGGCTCTTCAGGTTTCCATGGCAGCAGAGGGCCACTTGCTGACCTTCATAGAAACAAATGACTGGACAGTACCTACTGAAAACAAATAAAGCCCATTCCCCTTTAGCGTTCAGAAGTCTGGGTTATTGCTGTGTTGGTGTCCAGAACATCAGAGCCGAAAGTAAAGCCATGTGTTTTTCTGGTTGGAAGTGTCCAATCAAAGGTGTCAGATTGCCGTTCATCTCCTATTCTGTTTTATTTCGGTGTATGTCTTCCCTTTGACCCATAATCTTGGCAGAGTGAGAAATGAGAGCGGGAAAATTTCACACCAATTTCCATTTCTGAGAATTGAGAATGAAGTTAGTAAATTTCAATGTTTATTTCAAGTCATCTCTTTGGAAAGTCTGGGATCTCTGGGTAAAGACTCATTCACCTGAAATGTAGCTAGCTATGTCGCCTCCTTGTGTTCCATCTGTGAACTTCATTGCCTGGAAACAGTTTTTTTCTCTGAGAACGCTGGGATGGGAGCTCTCCAGTTTCAGCACTTTGAAAGTGAGTTTTCTATTCTGCAGTCATTGACAGGATACATGGCTTGAGAAAATGGGAGCGAGGTCTATAATGACAGATATGTTTAATATGTGTTTGGGATCCTGGCGGGGACCGCTATGAGTCATCGAGACTGTCTCGTGGATCATTTCTATAGCTCCTTTTGTGGCACCATAGTTTCATTCCTGACAAAAACCTGAAAATATATTGAGATCCCTTGGCATCACAACCTTTGAAAACTATCGCAAATGTCGATTCTGTCTTGTGTGTTGGTTGAGTGTTTGAAAGGTGACTTCCCTCCTCACAAACCTCTCTGTGACCACATGGCCCTTCAGTGTGCAGTCACTAATGCCTCTGATCGTGTTTCCACCACCATATTCTAGGTGTTTCTATGAGCTGCTCGTGTCTGCTTAGTTTAGAGCTCAACAATTTGGGTAGTAGTTTCACCTAAACCCTAGGAACTAATGGTCTGTGTGTAGGCTGCAGAGCATGGTCACTGGTCAGCTGGTCTTCAGTCCTTATTCTCTACGTTCTGGCTCTGGTTCCGAATCCCTCACTGAGGGATACATGGATGGGGGATGGAAACATGGACACTTGGGCTCATTCTTAGAGCTCCTCTCCATCCAGTGATCAGGTTGGTCCCTTTCCCAGTCTCAGCTGCAACTAGCAAGCTCAGTTTCATCAAAGCGCATCTCCGTTCTGTTTTTCTACTACAGGCTTTGACACTGTGCACATAAAGCTCTCGCTTTTCTCCTAAAGTCCATGGAAGGCCAATTAAAATCCGCAGGGCTAGCGGTGAAGCTTGATAATAGAAGGTGTGTTTTGCATGCACCAAGACCTGAGTTCGATGCCCAGTTGAGAGGAAAAAAAATAGCAATAAACATAGAGACAAAATGAGCTGAAAGATACTGGGACATTACAAGAAGTTGTGCTCAGGAAAGACCCAGAAGCTTCAGCTTCCTCTACCTCCTGATACATATGCCTCATCTAAGGACAGATGGGATATGATTTATCAGCAGATTAGCTGGGGCAAGCTTGGAGAACTATGGGTAACATCTAAGGGACTAGCCTGTGAGAAGGCTCTGGGATTACCCAAAGTAAGCATAAGCAGGTTAGAACTCTGGGGAGATTGCCTACTGGAGGATCAGGAGGATGGAGCTTGGGGAAAGGCCAGACATAGTTATAGTGAGAGAAAGAAGACGTTTGGGGAACAATGACCAGAAGTTAGCAATCAACTGAATGTGGAGACCAAGGCGAGATAAGAAACAATTGGGCTAAACTTTTTTTTTTTTTGAAGAGATGTTGGATAAACACCAATGAAAAATAGAAAAAAAAAATCAAGAGGGCGATCCTTTAATAAGGGATTTGAACGACACCACAATGTGTGTGTTCTTCACCAACACATGGCACATTCAGGAGACTCTGGAAGAGAGGCTTTCCCTGTGTTTGCATACTGTGTTATTGTCTGGTTCAGTGGGACCGAGGGGAACAAGCTTGACCTATCCTGAGTTACTGTGTGCTCTCTATGTGAGATATCAGCTCACACACCCTTGGTTGTGCCAAGGCTGAATTGCTCGAGTTCAGAAACCCACAGTCTTTACCAGATGTAACCCAGTTTGAGTGCAAGAAAGAGCCAAGAAAGCGAGTCGACGTTTTGCTTTCAGATGTAATGACCAACCACACCAGGAGACACAGACTGATCATTTGTACCAAGTATTAAGAACACCTAAAAATGTATGATATTATGATGAACGCTGGACCAGACCATGCACTAACCAATCACACCCGATTGAAGTCCTCCCCCTTATCTCATAACATTAACGGAGCGCCCCAAGACCGAAGCACAGCAGGCAAGTTGACTGCTTACCCAGTCGCTTGTCCTCAGCCTCGTTCAGGTGAGACCGAAAAGGACTCTTGCCTCAGCCCCCAAGCTTGAGATCAGCTTCTTCTGTCCATGACATTTGGACCATTTCAAGCTGACCCTTGTCACCTTCTGTCAGTACCTGCATTTGACTTCTGACCTGCACAGCTCTGCACCTGGGCTTGGTAAGACTTCTCATCTGGTCTCTACAGACTGTTTCTGGACCTTTGCATCAGCTCTCCCCCATGGACCATGCCAGATACCTGCATCATCTCTCACCTGTGGACCATTCTGGGACCCCTGCATCAGCTCTCCCTTATGGACCATTCCTGGATCCCTGCATCAGCACTCTCCCTCTGTTAGGACAACACCTCTCTCTTCCTCAGCCTCATTATTCCTTTCTTAGTCATTCTGTAAAATACATATTATGGTGTATAATCTAAAAGTTAGTAATAGTAGTTAAAATAGAATGATCGAACCTGTGACCATCAATGGCCAGGCCAGCTATCAAGCAAAATCACAGCCAGTGAAATTAAAGCAGCACCTGAAGCTGCCTTTGTTTGATACATTCTCCCCTTGTAGGAAGACACAAATATGTTTATACTTCTCACACAGCATGTTCAGAGAAGGACTTCTCACTGAATAATGGAATTTCTCTTTTAGTCCTCATAGATTTACATAGAATATTTTACTGTCTTCAGGCATAAAAACGTTACCCATGTACCATTCCTTTTTCTTACGGTGCAGAGATTGACCTAGAAGTTTTAGCAGTGAGCTCTACCACTGAGCCACATCAACAGGCCACAGTTTTTCAAGACAAAGCCTCCCTTTGTAGCTGAGACTGCCTTGAGCTCACTACACAGCCTAGGCTAGCTTCAGACTTTGTAGTTCCTTGCAGATACTGGAATCTCCTCTTCCTCCTCCCCTCCTCCTCTTTCTCCCCTCCTCTCTTTCTTCTTCCTTTTACTCCTCTTCCTTCTTTCACTTCTCCTTCTCCTTTCCTTCTCCTCTCCCTCCACTTCCTCCCCCTCTCTTCTCCCCTCCCCCTCCTCTTCTTCTCCCTGACCTGACCTCACTTTCCTTCATCTAGCCCCACCACCACCACCACCATAAGCTGCATCTCCAGCCCAATATTTTTTCTTAATGAAGCAACTTTGGTTAAATCCATTGATGAGATGCAGTGGGAAACTGATGTGTGTGATATGCTGAGTCACCAGGACTCTCAGGGATGCTTCCAAGAGGATAAATTGCAAGGGCGCAGCCACAGAAACACCACCAAGAACAGTACACTCTGTTCTTCCCTTGCTTTTATTTCACTGAATCACAAACATTTTGTTCAGCGTTTGAGATCTTTATTTCAGTATAAGGGAAAAATAGCAATAGCTTCAGCAGGCTTAGCGGTCCCCAACAAGAAAACAGACACTGTGAGAGCAAGAGGGCTCCCCTACCCACAGATTCTGTATAAGGAAAGAACCCCACACAAGGCAACAAACTCACAGGCCTGCAGAGATCCACAGGACGGGAACTGAACACTGAGCACTCATCCAGGTATCTTGAGGCTTCAGGGGTCTAGCAGGCACATAAGGAGGTGGAGGGAACTTTAAAAGGTTCTGACATCTACAGAACTGCTTACAGAACTCTAGAAAGGCAGACCTAGGAAACCAGAGTTTCTAGCAGCCCCATGCGTTATGGCTATTCTGTAATCCATGAGTACGTTCTGTAGTTCTCTGCACTTTTAGTCTACTGGTGTAAGTCACTACCCTGCACTTACCTCCCTGACACGTCTACGGGAGACAATCTAATTTAAACCAGATTTCAATGATGTATCTTGAAAATCAAAATAGGCACTCTGTTTGTTTTGATCTTTCTGGGGTTTTGTTTTGTTTTGGTTTGTTTTGGTTTTAGTTCTGGGGGTTGAATCTAGGGTGTGTCCCACCATGTTATACCATTGAGCTCATTCCCAATGCCCCTAGTCCATTTTCAAATGTCATGCTTTTGTTAAAGAATTCTCATCAAGTCTCCCAGTCTTGACCTGATCTCTCTTTGCAGCCCACATAGACCCTGAGCCTGAGATCATCCTGCCCCAACCTGCAGGGATCATAGGCCTGGGCCACACACCAGGCCTGAAAGTATGCGTTCTTATGACCTTAACAAAGTAACCATTCAATCACTAGCCTTGTTTGTTCCTTCTGTGTGAGGCTCTGAAATGATCATTGTCCAATTTAGTTCTTAGAAAAGCAACAAGACTAACATCATGTAGCAGATTACTAGAGGAGAGAGACTTCCTATTTGGACATTCAACTAAAGCCCATTGGAAAATGCATACACAATTAATCTGGAGTTTACAATCTGTGCTTGTGTAGCTAAATATTAAAGGAACTGTTTCTCTTGATAATTTTTCTAGCCGGTTAAAGACTGTTTGGAAAAACAGCCAAGATCTGTTTAGCAGGACATCAAGGCTGGGGCGAGCTGCACGGAGGCTCTTCATCCCAGTCTTGCGCAGCCGTTCTGGATATCCAGTTTCAAGTTCTGAACAGAAGCAGATGGTTAAGAATGAGTTGTTTTCTGTAAAATCTATAAACATGTATTTCAGTCCCTCCTTCATGGATTCTGTTTTGCTAATTTAAAATTATTTACTTGTGTGTGTGTGTGAAAGAGAGAGAGAGAGGGCGGGAGAGAGGGGGGGGGAGAGGGGGAGAGGGAGAGGGGAAGAGAGAGAGAGAGAGAGAGCACACCACAGTATATTATGGCGATCAGAGGACAACTTTAGGGAGCTGGCGTTCTCCTTCCTCCATGGGGTCCTGAGATGGAACTCAGGTGGTCGGGCTTGCACCTGCTGGACTCTCTCACTGACCTATTGATCTCCTTTTATTCACACCCCTGAGATAGTGAGATCGTAGTCATGGTGACTTGTGCTTTAAAATGAATGAGCCAATCACAACAGAAAGACAGTGAAAGAGAAAAGGCAGGAGTTCAGAAATACAGACTAGAAATAGTTGTTCTGTTTCTTTGACAAAACTAATTTTAAAATAATTGTTTCCAATATATATATAGTGATTCAAATGGGATAGTGCTCCTCACCCACAGTTGTCGGTTGACTTGATAAGAAAAATTTTTAGTAATGGAGCAATTTAATAAACAATGTTTCCTTGCCATGGTAACCAGACCATCATGCCCTCTAAAATATATCAAGGAACCCCAGCTTGTGGGGATGGCCAATACAATCTGAGAGGAAATTCTCATTTTCGTTATTTCTAGAACATCTCATGAGTCTGAACTTAAATTTTAGCTTGCTCCTTCCACAAAGCTTAAATATGCATTTAGTGTACTCCATAGAAATTTCCGAGTGTGTGTGAACACAATTTCAACCATTCTGTCATGCGGTAAGTGCAGACGATAGCTCTAGTTAGTGAATGGGTAGGTAAGGGACACTGAAGAATGCAAGTATTTGAATATTTAAATAGGGATGTATGCAGTGTCACAGGAACCTACCACGTCATCACTTTGCTTGGGATCTGCAATGCCTCTTGAGTCCTTGCTGACAGATTTCTATAACACATAACATATGCTCTATCAGGAACTGAACCAGCTATTGTGAGCAGGATACGTATATGCACACATGCACATGAGCCCCCACCCCCACCCCCAGGGCAGAGTACTTCTTGCTAACAGCACACACATACACATACATACTCATGAGCACAGACACAGGACACACTGCTTTTTGTTCCATGAAAAAAAAAAAAACACACACACATTTAAGCTAGTTCATGAATCATTACTGGATGGGGGGAGGCTGAAGAATTTCTGCTTAGATAAGGCCTCACGAGAAGCCATGCAGTTCTAGTAAAGTGTGTGAATCTCTAAGAATATGTTATATAAGAGACTATTCAAGCATGTCTCCTGAAACCCACTAGCGCCATCGTTGATACGGACCACACAGGTTCTGCAGGGAATACAGTAGGAAAGCCGCATGAACAGCTTCTGCTAGACACAATACGAGATCCTTTCTGTGATACTGAAGAACCCCAGACAGAAGTACTCTGGCCACGGACGGCCTCTTGCTCATCCACTTAGGGAGAACAGCTGATTTGAAGCTGCAGGATGGAGAATCCTGATGTACATACATCTCCTAGCACCAAGTGTGAGTTGAGGTACATTCCTGTGAGACTTTAAAGATGCGCAAGGACCCAGGTCATACTGGAGAATCTATAATAAGTTTTTATTTTCACCATCTTGGCAAACTGGGAGTCCAGAGCCCTGGAGCTAATCAGGGCCTCAGTGAAAACTATCACTGTGTTTCTCCCCTCAAAACTGGGGCCAGAATTGGGGTGATGAATAGGCATTCATTTAAAAACAGAATTTAAATAATAAAAGTAAACTCAGTAATTACAGTGACTCATACCAGCGAGACCACTTCTGGACACACACCCAAAGGACTCCCAACCCTACCAGAGAGGTTTTCAGACATCCATTGTAATGTTGTACTATTCACAATAAGAAAGTGGAACAAGTCTACATGTCCTTCAGCAGATAAATGAGGTAAGAGGAACATATCCAGATACACAATGGAACTGTATTGGCAGGGAGGCGGTTTGGTCTGGAAATTACTCCAGTAAGTGAGTTAACCCAGACTCAGAAGGACAAATATATCTCATGTGTCTTTCCTATGTGGACTGTGGATATTAACTTTGCATTTGGTTGTGGCTATGGATCACAAAACTAGAACGAGGGCTTGAGATGCAAAAAGTGGGCTTAAGGAAAGAGGTGGGAGGAGTCGGTAACAGAATACATATGGCACAAAAGAAGAAAGAGGTGAAAGGGCACAAGAGAAGGGGGGGGGAATGAGGATGAGAAGCAGAGAAAGAAGACAAAACAAAGTCTGTGTGAAAAACGCATACCGTAGCCTGTAACTACGTATTCTAACTAAAAGAAAAAAGGTTTTTAAAATTCACAGATAATCAACAAGAACTTATGACCCATTACGAACGTTTTAAACAAAGTGCGTCCCTGGGAGGGCAGGCTCATTTCCTTCTTTTCTGCTCAGCCCCACCAGGCTAAGCACATTGTGTATTAGAGTCAGTTAGTCATATTTATATTTCAACCCAAGATCTGGGTGCTGTTACTGGGTCTTTTCAAGGAACTAAAGGCAGTTAAGTGACAACAAGGAGATGAATGGATTGGACACGAATGGGCACATCCCATCAAGGGAAGGGACGTACCAGTGTGATGTAGTGAGGGCTTGAGAAGCTGGACGGAAGGCTCTCCAGTGTCTCTGCAGCACTCTGTTGATGAAAAGATGCTATTAACCTGCGAGTAGTCCTCGAGAAAGGACCACTCTTTCCAAGGCCACAGAATGTGTTTCCTGAGACACAGATCCAGGAAATGCACAAATAAGAAGACCCGTAGAAACAGTAATCTTCCCTAGACTGCTGTCTTACATACGGGCATATCTAAGACCTGTTCTGTAAAGAACACCCATGAAAGGCAGAAGGTGAGATCTTCCCAGTATGCTGTGGCGTGAGTAGCCCTGGAAGGGTCTACTAGTCTCCAGATCTCAAAAGTCCTGGTGGCATGGAGAAAGGCCACAGCCACTTACATTGTTCTGAACCTGGAAGCTCTTTGGGTGCTCCCAAACTGCCTATGAATATGTACGCGACTGAGGTGCCCCTTTTTAATTTATTTTCTGTTAGCTCCTCAGGAAACAGTGAAACAATGGGAAAACGTGGACCAACAGAAGCAAGACCTAGGAAGGCACTCCCTTCCAAAGAGAAAAAGCCAGACTTCATTTGTGTGTGTGTGCATGTACATATATGCATGCATGTATTATGTATGTATGTGTGCATAGATGTCTTCTTCGTACAATTTTGATGAAGATTGGCCTTCTGTAGGGAGTTAATATGTCAAAAAATATTTTAAGAGCCTACAGATTCCTGTAAAGTCCACAAAATTGTATCATAGTGTGTATATCATCAACATGAAGCTGAATCATTGTGACAATCAACAAACTTCTCAGAGCATTCTGTTTAACCTAAAATGCCATAACGCCGCTAAGGTGTTAGTAATATTGCCTTGTTTTGTTATTAAGCTAAGGCTGATCTTGAACTCTAGATTCTCCTGCCTCGGTCTCACAAGTGATGAGATTACAGGCATACACAACTGTACCCAACTTAAACTTGCAACCTTGACACGTAACAAGTACGTCTCAGCTCTGCTTAAACCCTGGGTTGGCTTCTCTGACAGTTGCCCCGCCCTCATCCTGGGGTTTAGAGAATTTCAACTTGGCTCTCAGCTCATGAAATGCACCTAATTTACACACAGTTATTTAAGGAAACTGTAATTAGGAAAGCAACTGCCAAGCACGTAAGACTTAGTAGATAGTTAGCATAGAGTAAGTGCTAAATGTCCACCAGACACAAAGTACATCGACTTTTTCATTTATCCCTGGGGCAACTAGATAAGATGGATACTACCATCATATATTTGCATGCCAGAAAATTCTCCGTGCACATTTAGAAAATCATCACACAGTACTTTCTGTGTATAAAAACAATTAAGATTTGTATTTAACCATCTCAGCATTAAGTATGACATAGTAAAAGGCACAAATTGATAAAGAAAATGGTAAACAATCATATAGTAAGATTAAGATGAATTATTCTTGCCTAAATATTCCAGTGGAGTTCAGACTTTTTTTTTGTTTGTTTGTTTTGTTCTCCCCCCCCCCCCGTGGCCTCTGAGCATCATGAGGGTGGGAAGCAGATACTCTGCAAATATTAGGAAAAGCCTAGAATTTTGGGAAGCAAAGCATCTGGGCAAATGCTTCAAAATACCTAGAACTGTACCATCAGACTTGCACCAAAACCCTCAAAGTCCTGAATTTTATAATACTGGTAACATAGACTGAACAAAGACTCGGTGGTTAGACACATTTGCTGCTCTTGTGGAGGGCCTGTGTGTGGTTCCTAGCAACCACTTGGTCACCCACAACTGCATGTAACCCCCGTTTAAGGGAAATTAATGCCTTCTTCTGACCTATTAGGCACCAGCACAGACATAGTGCATATACATACCTTCAGGCAAAACACACTCATAAAACAAAAGCATCTTTAAAAAAGATTTATCCTTCTATTTTTATTGGCAGTATGCCTAGAATCAGCTGACTGATAACAGAAACAATTTTTTGCTCAAGTCTTGGGTCCTAACAGGCATTTTACCATTTTGTTAGGGTAAACTTGTCAAGAATGGCGTCGATTACTTAGATTAAAACAGAATGCCTGGCAAGATGTGATGGTGGCACATGGTATAATTCCAGCACTCAGGAGCCTGAGGAAGGAGGACAGCCTTGAGTTTGAGGCTAGCCTGGGCTGTTTTTCATTTAATGGGGGAGTTTTTTTTTTAGGGTTTCTTACTAAAATTCCATTTGAGATATCTTTCTGGTCTCTTTTTTTTTATTACTAATACAATATTATTTTGAGAATACAGTTTGTATGTGGTCTAACTTTTCCTGAATTTAATTCAATTTGTTTTATACCCTAGAATATGGTTTACAATTGTAAACTTTTCCACTAGTACACAATGTGATATTTTATTTAGTAAGTCCTTTCTGCTCTGAAATAAGTGTTGGTTATTGTATGATATCTGTTTGATTCTGCTGTCCTCCCTACCCCCACTTAAACAGTGAAATCTTCCCTTGTATAGCATGCCTCTAAGCAGCTCCCACTTTGCTTAGCTTAGGGTGAGTTCTACATTGAAAATACATACTTGCCAGAGAGACAGAGCTGGGACGATGGCTCATCTTTCAAATCTTACATAAGCCTAAAGCCTTAACTTTAATCCCCAAAACCTACTTAAAGGTGGAAAGTAAGAACTGGCTCCATAAAGTTGTCCTCTGATCTCTGTCTACACAGACATATGACAGGCAGACAGGCAGGCAGATAGACATATACACACACATACTTATAACCAGGCAGGCAGGTAGACACATATATACATATGTATATAGATTAATAATAATAATAATAAATAGAACACTACAATAATAAAAAATATATGAACACACATGTGACAGCTCGTTAGCTGTCACAAATAAAAGTATCTCACATGTAGGGGGTGGATATCTGTCAGGACTGGGTCCCTCCTTGTAGGGTTCTCCTCGGGAAAGTATCCTTTATTCTCCACTCCCCGCATTTCTCTAGGAGAGCTGTGAAGAAGAAACATGGAACACTGACTCAGGCTGTTGGAAAAGACACGTGATTCTAATTAAACCACACAGGATATTTTTAAGTGATGTGTAGCTTGTAACTTGAGTGCAACTGCAGCTCAGAGAGAAATCAATGTTTGTATTGTATGAAAGAGCTAAACAGGTTTTCAGATTGTAAAGAAGTTTGGAAACCAAGAGGATAAGCATTTGGACATGAACAGACATGTAAAAGGTTGATTTGGCATTCTTATCTGGTTTTCAGTAGTAGACTCAGATCACCCCACACTGATATGTTCTGTGGCCACAGAGTTAGCATGTATTTAGTGATGGCCTCCTTTCATGCAGAATATGTAGACATACTTTTGAACTGGCTTCATCTTGATGCATTTCTGGTAGCGGACTAGTAATAAGACAAGTCCAACCCCAATGATGACCATGACGAGCACAATGACCATGATAGAGACACCTGCAACATAAAAACAGGTAAACCGAACTCCAGCGGGCCATCCACTTGAGGACAGTAGAACTTACAATCTCACTTCTTCCCCCAAAGGGCTTTAGCTCCCTGTCCTCCAACATGACACAAATTATTATAGTCTCTATTCACAATTAACAATCCACCCCAAGATTCCAGCATGCTTAAGGAAAGCCATCGTCAGCAAGAAAACCTTTGCTTGATAGTTATTAATCAACGCTAGAAAAAGCCCCATTGCAGTTTGGCTTTCAGAAGTCATAAGGGACAGTTGTCTAGAAGGTATATTAATTCTAAAAAGCAAATGTAGTAAATTTAGTTTGGGTCTCCGAACATGCAAAATAGGAAGGCAGGACCATAAAAACCCTCACGGAAACACAGCAAACACATGGCAGATGAGACAAAACCTTCATGGCGGAAGACTTTGAACATACATGAGTGTTATAGTCCTTACTGGTAAGGTTGAAAGTTTCTCCCCAGTCTGTAATTATTGCTCCCTCCTCACAGTGGCACTCGAGTTCGCGGTCATCCACCTGGAAGAGCAGCCAATCACATATTGCTACGGTTATCGAATGACCGAGAAAAGATGTGCTTTGCAGCTCATTTCTGCTAATGTTAGATTTGCATCAGCCCCATACATCCATTTATCCATAACTATAGATTTCTAGTACTTGAAAGAGTATCTGATATATATCTTAATAAATTTTAAGTGATAGCTGGGTTTCAGGACGATGTTCCACCCAGATATAAACCATTAGCATTGAGCAGTGTTCAGCTAAAAACAAATTTAGAATGTGTGTGTTTTTACAAAACCTTTGGGCTGAGGTTGATACTAGTGTAACTTAACTGTAAGTGACATTAGGAAAAATTAAAATTTAAACTTCATACTTAAGCTTTATATGTATACACAAAAGTAGGTTTCTATATTATCAATATAGATAATAAATTATTTCTCTTTAACATTGGTAATGTCTTTGTTCAATAATATCCAGGTTGGCTCTTTGCACTGAATTTATTGATTATACATAAAATGTAAAGAAAATATATAGCTCTTTAAAAGAATAAGCTTACTTCCACACAGGCTCAAGAGTGTGGGCTAAGGTAAAGGGAAAAAAGGCTGCTGAGACACTACTTTAAGAGGCAATGAAATCTTACAGCGTTTTCCTCACACTGGGAGGGGCAGCTGCTGGAGTTGTAGGCCTTTTCCATCTGTACGCATTCGCCATAACTGCAGACCTAGAGGGGAAGCAATCAGCGTGAATTAGAGTGATGCAACTTACGGGACACGTGATTTTACACACTGGCAGATGGGATTCTGCATTCCTTCCTATGTGGATTAGTTGCATGCTGGATGCAGCACTAGGGGAGATTGCTTTCACTCTTGTGACACCCATGTCACTCTCCCTGAGGGGAATCACAAGTAGACTTGATATAATACTGAGAAATGTCTTGCTTTGGTTTACCAACTTTGGGTGTTTAGTCAAACTAAAGATAACCCCAAAGACAGTTTCAGTTCCCCTATACCAATGGATAGAATAACACCTCTTTCTCTCTCCCTCCCTCTCTCTTCAACTGATCTCCTTTCTTCTTCCTTTACTCTCCAATCTTTCACCATTCTTCTCTTCCCTCCTCTTCCCTTGTGCTTCATCCTTTTTTGTCCTGTTAGTGCTGTATTCTAAACAAGCAGATGGGAACCAAAGAGCCTCGTGTTGTGTTTATGCAGGAATTTATTTCTAAAAAAGTCTTTTCTGGACTCTCATGCTTTTTGAAGAATTATTCATGCTAAAGAAGATAGTGACTCAACCTCAGCGTCCATCAATACACGGACATAAAAGTGTGCAAACATGTCAAGGAGTATAGCTTAGCTGCAGAATGAATAAAAGCACGTCATCGTGGCATCTTGAGTAAGTGTGGGAGGCAGATTACATGAGGGACGTCAGACACAGGTTGGGAATTTCACACCTGAGACAGTTCAGAAATTCTCAATCACACACGAAAGCTAAGAACATTAATCTTAAGAAGCAGAGAACTGGATTGCGGTTTCCAAAGGCTGGTGGGATGGCCAGGAAAAGGAAAAGGGAGACTCAAGACAATATGTTTAAATATTCAATTAACCAGGAATAATAATTTCTAGTGGATCGTATGGCAGAATGTTTGTAATTAATAATATCTCATTGTATGTTTTAACATAGTTAGAAGAGAGGGTTTTGGATGTTCACAACATGAGGAAATGGTCAGCTGTTAAAGAGGTTGTCTATCCTAATTACTCAGATTTGGTTATTACTCATTCTACATATGTGCTGAAAGATTATACTGTACCCAACATATGTGCATAATAATTAAGTGTGGGCCATAATAATTACTAAAATCTGGAATATAGAGTAAAAAGTCTTCCTTATTTTCTCTTTGTTAAAATTAACTGTAGCAAGTCAAGCTGAAATCTTAGTAGGTCCAATACTCCGTGAGTAGCCAGCTCTCTTCCTTTAGGTCCAGTATGCCCTGGTCTCCACAGCCCCAAAAAAGCATTTCTGTGTCCAGGCTCTGTGTATGACATGATCAAGTACACTGGTCTGTAGGCCATGGGAAGCAGGCCTAATTACGAAACCCTAGTACATAGTCTGTCAGCGTGGTGGAAGGGATAAAAGGCAGAGTGCTTGCTGGCATCAGTAACATTAACTGGAGTAGAAGCCATGCATAATTTCATTAGATGCCTATTTTAAGATACCAATTAAGCACACTTATACCAATTACATATAATTTAGTATAACTGCAATTAAGCAAGAATAATATTACCATATTATCACTACCCTCTCCTTCAATAAGTAACAGGAAACGTGGCCATTGTTTCCCCACATAGAAACCCATCTGGAGTCGATCCCAGCAGCCATGCTGTTGGCGAGCCGCTGTCCTCTTACCATTCCGTCCCCACATTTGGTTCCAGCGTTAACCAGGCCCATGTCTCTAGAATTGTGGTTTAAAAACATGGTCTTGCATTTGATGGTCACATTCTGCTTCTGATTAGTCAGGCTATACACTTTACTCTCTCCGGGGAGCGACGAGCGCTGCCCTCCAGCACAGAAGAGCTTTCCACATTTGAGATCTCTGGAGGAAAAGAAGTAGAATGTTCTCAGACTCAGAACCAGGAACCAACGTTTCAGAGATGAGACAACCAGCCCAGCCGCTTTCCTCCAAACCCCATTGGTTGGCAGTTTCCAGGACTGTGGTAGACGGAAAAAGCTCTCAGAGATTTAAAGCCCGAACTCTAAGAACTGACCTGAATAGATAGTGTGCAAAATAATCACTGAAAAAATTTTCAGTTCTTAAAACGCAATATTCATTAACACTCACAAAGGATATTTGTTAGTGGTTTTGATTAGCATAACTTTAATGGGAATGCTAAGAGCTGTTCTTCCTCTCTTGATATTAACTAATTCTAGCAAGCCTGGGGGCCGCGGCTCTTCAGCACCCACTGCATGGAGGGTTCATCACTGGAAGTAAGTGACTGAGAGGGAAGTGAGGGCCACTCCGTTTCCGCATGGAGTATATAGAAGCCATGGGGAGCTTGACCGGAGGATTCTGGGATTGTTCCTTTCAGTCCAGTCCCTATTTCGCCACACATGAAAGGCCACACAGAACTGCAGTCTACGGACCTGGAAGGGAGTTTAACTCATAGAGATCAGTCTCACTTCCAATTTCTTTAGAGGTCTCCGCTGCTTTCCTTCACTCTTTAATTTACCCCCTTTAAAACATGGTTTCCATTCCTGTTTTCCCTGGTTTGGTAGCATTCTTTTCCTCCCTTTCTTTCCACCCGTCTTACCCCTTCCAGTCTTTCTATTCCAGGACCCCAACTAGTAAACTTGGCAAATTCAACTAATGACACCAGGGGTCTGGGCTTTCCATGCTCCTTCTAATCCTCAGCACAATCAGAATAACAGCTTTCAAAATGGAGTCTTTATGAGCTCTCAATTCACTTTCCTGGACATCTGTTTCCATGGGGCACTTACTTCTCATCACAGGGAGCAAATGTGTTTCCCTTTTTCTTGCAGTATCCAAATCTGTTTCCTTTTTTATTTATCTTGTAGCAAAGACCATGACTCTCTTGTGCTCCTGGGGTTCAAAATTACACAGTGTAAAGAAAAAGGAAATGAACACTGAGAATCGTAAAGCGGTTCATTTCCTAATGAAGTTAAGCTTGCCAAATCATGCCCCAGAATGGTACGGTGAAAAGAAGTCAATACATTATTGAGAAATATAAAAGGTTTTGAAGTGGGAATAGAGAAATGCGTAGGAGGGACAGGCGCAGAGAAGCTCTGATGCAAAGCCAATCAATTGCTTGGGAAGTAAAATAAGCAAGACAGGTTGCAGCCAGCGATGTGTTAGATGAAACCTTGAAACTATATCACAAATTATATTATCTCCAATTATATCCCAAATTCTTAGATAGTAACAGAAATAGCTACTATTGTCTTGATCATTTATCCCCATGACTGTCTCTCACCATCACCGAACAACTCTGAGCACTGGTCATCCGGAGTAGGACATTGCCCCATAAAGCAGTAGCCTTCGCCATTCTTGCAAGGAAACCCGTTGACCTGGAACTGGTCCTTAGGACACTCAGGGGAGTGGCCAGTACACATTTCAGGAAAGTCGCATTCATTTTTTGCTGGCCTACATATGGTCCCTTCCTTCCTAATCTGTCGAAGAGAAACAGGTATTGGCATCTTTGATGTGTGAGTTGGTGACACTGAGTACAGGCAGAAAGCTGACACACTTAATTGGTCTGTGAGAGACAGGCTCACAGCTTCCTTCTTGATGCGAAGGATTATGATCACCTGTAGAGATCATGGTTTTTCTGCGGCTTTAAGAATGAGAAGATAGTGAGGTATTTTTAAAAGCTTTAATTATTTTCAGTGTCGGAGTATTTTGCCTGCATGAATTTATGCCTGGTGCCCACAGAGGCCAGAAGAGAGCACCAGATCCCTGGATCTAGAGTTACATCTGCTATGTAGGTACTGGGAACCTAACCTGGGTCCTCTGCAGAAACAGTCTGAGCTTTTAACTACTGAGCCAATTCTCCAGTCCACGATGATGGTTTTGAAATTTGGTATTACAAAAGCCTAGCCTTAGGCAGAGCTGACATGGACAAAACTGGTTAAATGGGCAGATGTTTTCATTTACCTCATATTTTCTGCATTCCTAGCTCTGCTATATCACTCCAATGAATCCCTACCCATCTAGTCCATAACACAGGATCTCTGTCACCAACAGATAATGTTCCACCACATAAACTGTAACAATACCCTGCCTCTCATTGTTCAGGGAAGTGCACAAAGGTATTCTCTTACATGTGTGGGGTTCCTAAGAAGAGTTGAAGATACATAAAATGATTATTTCCTTTGTGAGCTTACAGTTGCTATTCAGTGGAGTCAAATAAGCATAAGAAAATTCCTTGGAGCAATCTGGATTTCTGGCCATTTTTTTTAATTCTATCCCTGGACATCTAGTGTCTATGTATACTCTGCCTTTAGATGAACTGTTGTCGGGATATCAATTTCCGTCCCACTTGAGTTTAGACTGACACTGATCCACACATGGTTAAGGATAGTGTTGGTCACGTGATTTGACTCCTAAAAACACCAAGATGCTAACCATCTTCTCTGTAACCCGACCAGAGCATCATCTATTTGGATATCAGACTATTTCAGATTAAATACTCCTGGGTGTTCACAAGGGACACTGCATTCTGGAATTATAACTGCAGGATCAGATAGTGCTTCATTATTGCACACACCTGAACTGAGAACACAGCAGGCCTCGGGAGCCAAGGGTCTCACCTGACATGATTTGCAGCACTCTCCTTCCACACAGGTGAATCCCGGCTTCAGGACACATTTGCGTGCATCACAGCAAGGGTTGGTGCATTCCTGGTAAGAGGAAAATGGAGATGTCGTCACAAATGGGTTCATGTGTTGGTCCTATTTGATGATCTAATTACTTGCACCCCTTCAAGAGCTCCATAGAAGTGCAGGACCCTTGGCTTTGGGATGTGAATCAGATTACTGGTGCAGCTTGCCTTGGAAGCTTCCACTTTGCTGCCTTCTCTCATGTTCCCTCAGTAATTCCCAGTTTATGAACTCTCATTGGTGGGAAGAGTCCAAAGACAGTGACCTCCCAGCTGCTGTTGTTTTCCAGATGCTGAAGTCTGAGATGCCATGATTTCAACCTGAACAGCTCTCTCTCTCTCTCTCTCTCTCTCTCTCTCTCTCTCTCTCTCTCTCTCTCTNCTCTCTCTCTCTCTCTCTCTCGTTCAATTCATTGTTATTTTATAACAATAAAATAGTCACACTTAGGTACTCTGTCTTCTTGAACAAAACTGAAACTTCTGAGGCTGTTGTCTGTCTACGTCACAGGGGAAATGGATCCCTGTCCAAAGCCAAAACCTTTTCTTGTTGCATCTGAGACATTGAAAAACAGTTTTCAAGTTTTCTGGGTCAGCCCCACCCTCATTATAGTGTCTCTTGATTGCTGTCCTGTTACAGTACTTTGAACTGGGCAGTGTCTAACTAGAGCTAACATAGAAAATGTTGAAGACCCAGCAGATTGGTGGGACCGTAAACCCAAGCTACACTGGAGGACTACTAGCTTCATATTTTAGCACATCTCCAAAGGGTTACACAGCCTTGTCCATTTGAGGCAAAAAGTAGTGGAGGACGCACATTTATTGGGCGAGTTTCTAGAAGAAATACCTTCTAAAAGCAGACTAAGAATTACCTGAAAATTCGCCTCTAAGGCTTTTCTAGATGATCTAGACTTCAATAAATATATGAAAAATTTGGAGGCCTTTTGTCTTTCTACTAAAAGAGACTTTTCTATAATTACAACTGCCCAGCTATAGACAAGCCTCCCAAAGCTGTAAGTAAAGCTTGACTGACTAGGCCATGTTACAGAATGACTACCACCTACTATGTGTGCCTGCGGGATCCCGCTTAAGGATACTTCCCACAAGACAAGGCAGTTAACATGTAAGCTAGGCAAATGGAATGCTGCTGGTCTCCAGCAAGGTCATCACATATGACTTGAGATTTCCTAAGAAGGCTTGAAATGAGGCTGCCTCAACAGCCGGGCTCCAAGTGGACAAGAGGAACAGCTTCCTAAGGCTTCACTGAGAACATTGTCTGTGGAGAGTCCAGCTGAACCCCAACCTTGTTAAAGATGACATCATTTGCAAATACCTGAACTGATCCACAGTCACACTCTTCTCCTTCGTCTACCTTCTTGTTCCCGCAGAATGGATACTCAATAAAATCAGCAGGCAGTGGATTGTTGAATATGCACGCTGGCTTCTGATCATTCAGATATTGTTGGTATTGGCTTTGGCTGCATTTACTGAATTTTATTGCAGGGATGCTAGAGACAAGGTAAAAATGAAAGTTAATCACATGAAGGAAGCTGTGAAAAATTAATGAGGGATTGGGAAAGAAATACAAATGCTAACTACGAGAGGAGAGCATGTCACAGCTCCTTATGACTTACTAGTTGTGCTCCCAAAACACAACTATCAAATGCCATTTCAAGTGAAAAACTCGGGTTATGTGTCTTCTGACAAACCCTTCCTGATGCCAACAGTTACTTGATTGTCTGTGCTTCCGCTTCCTATTTACCTCTAATGTGCCCCTCTTATTTTTAAAAAAAAGCACATTTTTTATGTTATGAGTGTTTGCCTTTCTGTATGTATATCTATGACTATGTGCGTAGTACCTGCAGAGGTTAGGAGGGGGTGTTGGATCCCCTGGAACTAGAGCTAAAGATGGTTACAAATCTTCATATAGATGGTGGCAATTGAACCCCAATCCTCTGTAATAGCAGTAAGTAGTCTTAAAGACTGAGCTATCTCTCCAGCCTCTAATGTGTCCCTTGTAATACAACCACATAAGAATAGAAATCTGATTCACCATCTCTGAAAGACCACAAACGTCCCCACCAAGTCAAGGAGGGCATCAAGTTCATTTCCTTAAAAATAACTGTGAGTTAACACAGTGCCTGGGTTGGAGTAGTTCTCTATTATACTTGTGCAAATAAACTGCTTATTAATATTAGAAACATCCTCATGACTTCTAAATGCCCCTCTTTAAACAACACTTCACTCCTTCTTTATTTGTTTTTATTACCTTCAGTGATTGAATACAGAAGGACTTTTACAGACTTGTGGCCATTAAATAGGGTTGCTATGACCTTGATAATATTATTAGTTTGATATCAGATACTACATATCACCATTCTACTCTGTGACAGCCACTGAATTTTGAGCTTTGACTATTTTTCATCCTTTTGAAAATATTTATTTGGTTTAAAATTATATGTATTTGTGTGTGTTAATGTGCAGGTATGGGTACAGGTACCCACTGAGGCCACAAGAGGGAGTCAGAATCCCTGGAGCTAGAGTTACAGGTGGTGGTGAGCTTCCCAACGTGGATGCTGCTAAACATAGGTCCTCTGCTCAAAGGACTCCAAAGATGCACAGGACCAAGACCTGACAACAAGGTAAGTCACTCATTGTATATTGTAATGCAATCTCTTATTGACAGCTACTTGCAAAAAAAAAAAAAAAAGAGTTTTCTCCAAAGGAGTCTCAAAGGGTACTTAAGGATAATTAAGGGTACCCTGCCCAGCGGGGTCAACAGAAAACAAACTAAATTGTAGTTTTGTAGACTCTTGTTGCCTCATATGGTTTTGCTTGAACATTTGTTTTACTGTTCTTTTGTTTTTATATTATGATCTTAAATTTTGTGTTTTTAAGGGCTTGGGAATTTTGGTTTGTTTCTATTTGTATTTCTTACATTTTTGCTTTGTTTTGTTAGTCTGTTTTATTCGGGTATTTTTTTTTTTTTGCCTGTTTATCTTTTAAAGAGGGGGGATAGAGTTGGGTGGGTGGGAAGGAAGTGGGAGAAGTTGGGATTTGGGGAAGGGAAAGTGTGATCAGAACACATTATATAATTTTTTTTCAAAAATATATATAAGGTAAATTTATTATGTGCATTATCAGAGGCTCACCTTCCACTACCGCCCATCACACATTTCCCCACAGGACAGGTACATGGAAACTCATCATGTTGTATGCCCAGGCTATGCCCCAGCTGATGCGCCATTCTGTTCCCGATTATATTTACATCTGGTAGAAGATCCTGATTTAAAAAAAAAAAACACACACACACAGCAGTAAGAGATGTCTGTAAGAGACCCCAAAGTAGTACATGGGTATCACTTTAAACTAGTGTCTGAAAGGCTCAATTTCTAAATCTTAGTTAGTCTGTATGGATTTGGGAAGGGGTGGTCCTTAACTATAATTTATAATGGAAATTGGGCAAATGACCTTCTACTTATTTCTAACTTGAACTTTTTGATGCACAGCCCACTCCTATGTGTTGGCAGAGACTCAGTTTTCCAAACAGCTAAAATCGTTAACTAATGTTACTATGCCCGACTGCCCTGTCCTTCCCAAAGTTACGTTCTGAAACCTTAAGCTCGAAGGTTTAAGGCCAAGATGACAAGTTCCTCAACTGTGTTAATAATGCCCTAATCAAACAGGCTCTGGAGAAACATCTGTCTCTACCCTACCGTGGGAGACATGATGAGAAGGTGTCAACCTTCAGCCAGGAGGTGGACCCTTGCCAGTTACAAATGGATTAGATCCTTGCCTTGGACTTCTCAGATTTCAGAATTGTCAGAAATATATTTCCATGGCTTACAGCCTACTCGGTTTCTGGTATTTTGTTACTGAAGCCCATGGGAACTTAAGACAAATGTCCTACACAATTTTATGGGTGGTGTTGGTGTCTTTTCTGTATTAGATATTCCAGGGCTTCAACTGAGAGGTTTGGTGTTCTTGTTTTTGATCTGTCTTGATCTGTATTGAGCAACCAATCTATATAATCCTGTAAAGGGAGTTTCTGTCATGAGAAGCCTCTGGGAGTCAGAAATTAAAATCCAACGCAGAACTGATTGTTGCCTGGCCTCATAGACCTTGTCATGCTCTAACCTATATATTTATCAAAAAATTCAAAGAGGCATAGGCTATCTGGTTATGAGAAAGTTAATAGGTCACCTTTAATTTGTTTATTTCATCTTTGCTCATATAGAGTTTCAAAGGTTTCTTGGTTTGGCTAAAATAAGATAATTGAAAAAGTAAGCTTCATTTGGGATAAATTGACTTCGTGGGCGGACCTTATCTCATTCAGATACTAAAGACAAATCTATAGTCATGAAAGTGATTATAAAATAACCAGTGGGTGAGGTTATTTGAATAAATACTGGTTATTTTAAGCTTGGCTCTCAGCAAGAATAAGCTGGAGAGATAAATACAGGTAAGATAATAAATACAAACCTTCATGTTTTCAACCATGTCTCTAATAGAGTACATGAGCACCATTTACTGGAAGCTTTGAGCCTTGGATAAAGGTTGCACAGGCAAGGAGAGACAATAGCTCATAGGTCCTCTACTTGCTGAACATGATTTTCAAGCTTGTCTTGATATGACAAATTAAGTGACCTTTGTATTTGTTTATTTCAGTTTAAAAGCAATTCCGATGATTAAATTACCCTAAGTGGCATGGACCTTACTTGTCCTTATAAGTAGTTACGTTTAAAACATGGAAGAGTTTTACAGTTACAGAATACACTGTGGTGGTTTTCATACCTGTCCTTCTGAGCTTTGAATGTGTTTTACCTTCATTCTTCCCCTATAGTTTTTCATAAGACACATTTGTTATTCTCACTTACTAAAGGGAAGATAGGTCTCTTCATGACATTCCTTGGAAAACAGAAGTCAAATACAAATCACACATAGCGTTTCAATGTGTTTCAGATAGATATAGAAAATTCACTCAAATATTTGGGTAAATGGTACAGTTTTAGAAATATTTTAGACCCACCTTAACAATGCTGCAGGAACGCAAGGCTTGGCACATTCCTCTTGGGTAAGCAATTCCTTGCATAGGTGTGTAGAGCCACTTCCCACTGTAAACAAGATGCAGGAATACTTATTTTTAATCTGGCAGAACAGTTTCATTAACACCAAATTCAAACTGCAGTGAACCACCATAGGGGTCACCCTTTGTTCAAACAGTCTTCTCATTTCTGAAGTTAATGGGCACCATGGATGACGTGAGTTGATACAGGGCTCAGTTAAACCTAGAGACACCGAAAAAACTAAAGGAGGTCTTAGCATGAAATTGGAAAAAAAAAATGTAACGTTTTCTAAGAAAACAAAATGAAAGAGGAAGAATCTCATTTTTCTCGATTCTTGTATACCTTGTACTCAACTCTGGATAAAACAATTTAAATAACAAAACAAACAAACAAACAAAAAACCACAACAAGCTAATCAATTAAACTTAAAATGTCTGGGAGGGAAATATGTTATAGTGGATGCTCTCAGAATCATAATTATTTGATTATAGTTGATAACACTTAAAGTCATTTATCAATTATAGAAACACAAAAGAGCAATGATAGGTCTAATCCAACATTTAAATGCCCCATTGTATAAAAATAAGGCCATTCCCATAATTTCTAAAGTGATAGATGTCTACATTGTACGGATCTAATTTTCACTTGCCTTGAGAGCAGTGCTTAGATTGGGGCCTTTGTAAACAGAGCCATCACGACCAGGAAGACAACACTTAGACAATCAGGAAATTCAAATACAAGAACAAAGGTGAGATGAAGGACCTGGTTTAATTAAGAAGATGCACCCTCTTTCTATCCCTGTGTTCAATGTGTCAAAGTCTGGCTGTGCTTCTAGAGGAACACAGTATTCTGGGCTTGCCAATCTTTGGAGATCTTGGAAGAACATGGGAAATGTGAAGGACAGGCCAGAGGCTGACTTCTCTCAAAGTCATCTGAATTTAAACATAAACATTTACAGTCTTTGCATTGTCTTTTCTTTTATATCTATGTGACTATAGGTGGGAAATATTCAGTAACTCAGTGCATAAGAAGTCCCAGATACAATGTCCAGGTGAATAGTGAACAGTCCACTTTAAGGCCCTGTTTCAAATAACTTATCGATCTGAAAAGTTACCTGTGAAATAAGCAAAATTATTTTACTAAAATAAAATATTCTTCTCCATTATACCCAATTATTATTATTTTTGTTTGTTTGTTTTTCGAGACAGGGTTTCTCTGTGGCTTTGGAGCCTGTCCTGGAACTAGCTCTGTAGACCAGGCTGGTCTCGAACTCACAGAGATCTGCCTGCCCCTGCCTCCCGAGTGCTGGGATTAAAGGCGTGCGCCACCATCGCCAGGGCATTACACCTATTTAGATAATGTTATGTGTTCTAAAAATTCACACTTGGCTTTGTAAGATTAAGTCAGTAGGTAAAGGCACTAGCCTCTAAGCCTGACTCCCTGAGTTCAATATCCAGGATCCACCGACTCTTGAAAATTGTCCTGTGACCTCCACAAATGCACTGTCACACACACACACACACACACCATAAATAATAAATACATATTTAAACATTAATGTACGAGTAGGGGCTCCAACCTGCCCACCCTGAAGTTTATGATGATGTTTTACTGTGCTTCATCTCCTATCATTTTTGGTCATGACTGTCTATGAGTGTCTACACCCAAGGTATACTCCTGAAGAGAAGTGATTTGGGCCCATCCGATGAGAGCTGACATCTGGCTCACTCTCATCAACCTATAGATGACTGGACTGGACATTTCATGACAGTCTTTAGAACTGTTTGCTTCTGAACTCGGCCTGAAAGCCCTCCTCTAGTTAACCCTGGAGAGAGGCTCCGCAGACTAGATTTGAGGACTCTGGAGATATTGGCATTATAGGCAGAGAAACAGTTAGGTAGAGTGGGTGACTTTGGCAGCATCAGCGACAAGCTGGAAGCTACTATTGCTCTCAGGTAGCTCCCCCAGAGTGTGATATTGATTAAGATAGCAAAGGTGCTTATTATTACAGAGCCTATGAATTTCATTCCTGTATTCATCATTTTTCTCTAGGCTAAGTATAATGCTAGATATATTGAACAGAGGAATTAATAATTAAGTAGATTTTCTCAAACTTGTGTGTAGGGATATTGAAGCTATAGCAGGTTCAACTTATCAGATGAGATAGTCCAGAAAGCCAGATTTAGTGGACTATTAGAGAGAAGCTGTCTTTGAATGGTGATAGGAAATTGCCAAGGGACCCCAACTTATCCTTGCTTTGGCACATTTTCAACTCTACATAAGAATATATTTTTCTTTACAGTCTTAATTAGTATTAGAAAAAAATTATTAAAAATATTCTACTTATTTCAAATATTCTATTTTTCTATACTCATAATTAATACTTTTCTTATATAATAAAAATCCCCCCAAATAAATAATTTTGTGTTATTATGCATTATTTATTTGTCCTATTCTATTTTTTTCTTTTTGTGTGTTTGAGTGTGTGTGGTTTATTTGCACATGTGTGTACACATATGTACGCCCATGTGTGGGCATGAGAGAACAAAAGTGGGTATCAAGTGTTTAGCACTATCAGGCTATGGCTTTGCTTTCTCAAGACAGGTCTTCCACTGAGCCTGGAGTTAGGGTTGGTGGACAGCAAGCTCCCATGCTTCTCCTGTCTCTACCTGACTCATGGTGCTGGGGTCACAAGAGACAAAAAAAAAAGTGCATGGCTATACCTAAATATTCTTACGTAGGGGCTTGGGTTCAAATTCAGGTCCTCCTATTTTTATAGTTAGTCCTCCGACCCACCAAGCTATCTCCTGAACTCTGTTTTCTTTTTAAATAAAAATAATCACCCTAATATGTGAAGGAAAATAGAATAATTACATACCTCAGTAAAATCACATGATCAAAATCCTTCCTTTTTTTGAGAACTGTTTCTTGCCAAGTTGAAAAATGCAGTAAGGCAGTTTCTAGATTTGACGTGATTTCTATCTTGTCTCCAGCTGACCATATTTCCAGGCCAGCCAATGCCACATGAATGTTCAAGGTTTTATAAATCTGTCCAAAGAGGAATAATTTTCACAAAGCCAAATTGTTAGAAGTCTCTTTCATTATTACCTGTATTCCCTTGTATTAAAAAAAAACAATTTCAATGTAGTATGTACATTTTAAATAGCACAGCTCTTGTTTAAATTTTTATACTGAACTTCAGTGAAGATTATTATTTAGAATACTGGGTGAATTTCCATAAATTTCAATAAAGAAACTATGGTAAACTATGATAAAAAATTGTTTGAAAATACTTTAAGTATAGAGATAGAAATGTTAAGCATGAATGAAAATGATAGAAACAATCATAGGCTTTCATGAGCGCATTAGAAGGCTATGAACAATCAGGGGAAGAATCCTGCTGGCTCAACAGGAATTACCCAGAATTATCCAGGAATTAAAAAGCACTTATTATTTCTGTATGTGCATATGTGTGCACGTGCGTGTGTGTGTGTGTGGTGGCAGCAGGTGCATATGGCAAACACATGTGTAGAAGTCTGAGGACAACTTAGTGGCATCTGTCCTTTCCTTCTACATTCCTGAAGATCCCAGGGGTGGAACTCAAGTTCCACCTTCATGGTTTGTGTCAAACACCTTTCTTTATCCATGGAGGCATCTCAACAGTCTGCATCAGTGAGCAAGTTCTGGGATTAATTTAGATAATAAGTGCAACTTACTTAGTAAACCCAAACTTCAGTGCTGTGGTTTGTTGCTGACTGTTTTGAAGCAATTTTTACTAACTAGTTGACCTAGTGGGTCTGTGGTTTTTGCTGGCTCGATGTCAAGGTTATTACTACAGTCTTTTCAGAGATCTGCCATAAAAAGTACGTTGCGTTTATATTTTCAGATTGATTCAAATTATAGCAAAACTTACCATGTTGACAAAATTGACCATTCCCCAAATTCGTTTCCTTAGCTTGTTTTGGGGTTTGTTATTCCTGTGGTACTGTAAACACAAATACAGTACTTGTTACTTACCAATATTTTAAAAAGCCCAGAAAAATACTTCAGTTACTATTGAGATAGTGTAAAAAATGATAAGAAAGAAAGAAGAAAAGGAAGGAAGGAAAGAAAAGAAAAGAAAAAAGTAAAAAAAAAAATGAAGCCTCTAGGGCAATAGAAAATAGTTCTCTTTCCGGTGAACTAAAAATTGAACAAATTATGAAGACATAATAGATTTTTAAATTAAATAACTGGACATAGTGGTTCCTGGAGAAGTGCTTTGGCTTAGCACTTTAAGATCTTCTCTTGAATCTGGACATCTTTTTCAATTCTATTTCATTACATTTGTTGATTTTTTAAAAAGCAGCTGCTTAGTATTCTTTAGGGCCCATTTTTATTCCCAAGCCACAACTATTGAAGTTACACAACAGCCAATGCATTGCAAGCATCAACAAGTTTACTCTCCCTGACCCCTGAGAATCTGAATGTAAAAAAAAAAAAATCACAAAAATCACACAGTCAAGACAGAGCTCACATTGAATCGTGTACCAGAGAGGGACAGGAACCTGACCATTGCTTTTCTCCAGGACAAGGCTTATGATGCCAAGTCGATTTAACTGCTCTGACTTTGATTCTGTTCTTATAACCTTATTTCTTTTACTAGTTATTAATAAAATGTATTGAACGATAGAGGAAGATTTTCTGTGCGAGCACACACGGTCAGTTTCCTTTCCTGCTAAAAATCAGAGCCAAGGATGCCTTTCCTGAATCCTGCTGGAAGTCTCTGAAATTCTTCTCTCGGTCCACACGTGTCTTCCTCTTAACTCTATCAAGCAGCTGTTCTTCATCTTTCTGGGTATCTTGGATGCAGTTTGCTGACCAGCTTCCTTTCAAGGCATTTCTTTACATCTTCACTTCTACTACCATTTACCCGCTCACCGCTGTTTCCTTTTCTCCCACACTATGCTTAAATTCTAGGGGGTAAACGTGATTTCTAATAGTCAGGTGGGAGGGGTTGCCTAAAATACACTGTAGAAAGAGTCTGAGGCTGTTTGGGAGACCACAGGGTTAAGGTCTGCAACCCAAGGAGAGTAGAGGCGAATGATGGGTAGGAGCCTTGTGCCTTTAGTTCCAACCCTTTATTCAGTGTTTGGTGTTGCCTGACGGTTAGACAAGTGTGTTCTTCTTTCTCCTTGTAGTTCTTACGTCAGTGGTACCAACTGTATTTTAAATGATGACCCCAATCCTTGTCACTGCCAAATACTTTGTGCCAAATTTGAGGATGGTATTTTCACTGATGTTTTAAACGTATTATTCTTGAAACATACACGATCTCCTATTGCTTATAGCACATGCCATGTAAATTTCACAGAGTTAATGTATCTCTTTGCTTCAGCTGATCTGAAAACCATATACCCCTCCCTTTGTCTTCCCAGTTTTAAATTTTCATACATTGCTATCTGATTTAACATTTCTGTTTCTGGGAAACTCTCAATGATTGTTTGTCAGATACTATCTGACATCAGGTTACCTGCCTGCTCTCTCCCCTGCCTGTTCATCCGGTGTTCATGTCCATTACCTTCTCACAGTTTGTACTCTTCCCTGTGCTCTGTAAGCGATTTCCTTGATTCGTCCTCTGCTTCACACACTCTCTCTTCACGTGTGTTTAATCTCCATTTAATTCACTAGAAGAAACACACTTTCCCCCTTACAGATTCTAAAGTAGTTTTTCCAGAAAGCACATTCTTTATGCAGTCTCTCTTTTACTATCCTATTTATTTTGCTCTATCCATTTTTCATATTTTCACCTCTATTATATGGTGTAAATAAAGTACCATTGGCTGATTGACAGCTCTTGAAGAACCAACCCACCTCCTTTTACACTGGTCGACCTAAAGAGGTCCATTTTATCTAGGTGTACTGAAGTGGCTTTGTTGGGAAATTTCTGTTCATGCTTTCTCCAAACATCTTTTGTTGAAAATTTTGCTTAGCCTGTCAGCAGCCGAACACCAGATGCTGTTGTGGAGCATCTGTGCAAAGCACAGACCTGGGATCTGCCCTCCCGTGGTTGCTATTTTCCTTGCCATGGCTACATGCGTGCAAGAAATGCTCTCTATCTTCTGTGGTCCTTGGGGAGATCTTCTGTGATAGGGTTGACCTCTTGGCTAGAGTTACCACTGGGAAGAATTAATCCCTCTTTTATTAGAATGTTCACATTCTTAATTATGTCTTCCCATATGTTCCAAATACAGGTACACCACCTTCAAAGTTTTCTCCCCATTCTGATGAAGGTTTTTTCTCCTTAATTTTTAGCATCTGAAAGTTTTCAATGTCTTCTGTTGAGTTCAAGTCTAGATTACTGATCTGAATTCAAATTTTTATAAATTGTTCCAAACATCTATTAGTTGCAGTAGGAAGGGGGGTTCTAGTTTAGGTTAATCTGTAAGGCAATGAAGAGACTCAAAAGTTTCTTATAATACGTATGTTTTGAGGAGGTGAAAGCAGACACGTGAATCCAGAAGGGAATTTAGTGGAATTTCCTCCTCTCTAAACGAGAACCACAGATTGGTTTTATTGAAAAATAAAGAGTCTGCTGTTTCTCAGAGAACTCACCACATAGTCGTCAACAACAATGAACAGCTCAATAAATTTTTCTTTGTGGAAGCCCTGAAAACAGACATTAAGTTATATGAAACCTACCACCAGTTCACTAGAAAGCAACAACTTATCATGATAAGGAATTCTAATGCTATTGCATTTGAAAGTGAAGCAAATGAGGGCATCTAATATGTCTATGAACTTTCCTTATTAAAGCCCCTGGACCTACACACTAGATTTTAATAATTTTTGAGTGACATTTCATCATCAACCATTTTGCCTTTTTTGTTTAGTCTTCTAGCTCAAAATAAGAGTTGTAAATTATTACAAATTAAGTATTTTTATATTTTAGGTTTCTTGTTTTCAAACAGTTTGTAGCTCAGCCCATGTGCCACTAGCCCATATATTTGTGTACTTATATCTATATATGCAAAAAGTATTATGCCTGCATCCATGTATGTGTAACTGAGAAATAATGAAGAATGCCCATATTTCTCCTCAGTGCTCCTTACCCCTTTTCACTGTGTGCTGTTCTCTGTTCCAAAGGACACTTATAAGCACTGCTAATTATAGACCTTTCCTTTATAGGAAACAGAAACAGTAGGAAATTCTGAGTTTTTAGTTCTATGGAGCAAGTGCATTTTCTGAACAGTGTCCAGGGCTATGCTTCATGGTTTGACTAAGTCATTCTTTGCTGAACTATGTGACTATTTATCCAATGAGGTACTCAACAAAGAAATACCCGTGAAGTATATAATTTTTTAGACCCCCACTACCTAAACCCTGAGCATGAGAAGGAAAGCAAGCCTACCAGCTAGCATCGAGGGGAAAGTCAAGAAGACAACGTCTGATTGTGAAGAAGCCTAAAAGCATTGAGCACCTTACCATCATCCCACCGGAAACTAAACTTGTTATCATCCTTGGTTGTCTTTTATCATAACATTGAGTCTGATGTAAGAGGTGAGTTTGTCATCAACAGCTTCTCCCAAAGTGGTAAGAAACAGTAGGCTAGGGTACTGCAAACATTCCTTTTCCAGTTGCTTGCAGCCTTAACGCTGCCGTTCTATAAAGAGGATGGGAAGCTTTTTCCTTTATTGAAACTGATGGAACAAACTGGAATTTGCTGAAGAGGCAAAATTACTTTCTACATAGGTATGAAGAAGTTTGAAGTTCAGCCTTTGGATCATGAGTTTCCAGTTTAGAAGAGGACCCATGTTCCACTAGCTGTGTGCACAGACTTTTTCTTGAAGAATCATAACGGAAATCTAAAGTAATTTTTTCTTTCTTAAAGTAAAGATGATTTGGAATACTCACTTGCAGTTTGTGCTCATTTATGTTTTTAACTTCTACTGGAGCAGACTTCTTGGTAAAATTGAGCCCTGCACAGGAGTAATTGGTAGCATAGGGTGCCTTAATGTTGTATTTGAACACCAAATGTTCTCCGTCATCTGAGTATTTGACCGGTTCAATGAGGTACCGTTGGTCATTCACTCTGAAGAAGCCCCTGTGGGAATGGCAACACAATATTTCACATATGTAGCTTCCCCACTCTATTTTATTAACATTAGCCTTCTCAGAAAGGGAAACTACCGGATCCAAACTTCCTGAGCTGGGTGATCTTGGTAGCAAACAAGTGACCCAGCGTGTGGCCTTTGACTGAGTCAACTTAATCTTTGTCCTCAAAAGCTTGTCAGCATGATTTCTGCTTAGAGCATAAGTCAAAAACAGTTTTCATCCAAGGGAGCACAATCCCCTCCCTCTTTCCTTTTAAGAGGTCAGAAAAAGCACCACCTCTATGGGGTCAGATAGTCCAAGGTCATGGGGAGAACAAATACCCACTACTGCAGCATCTGTGGTTGCCTCAAAGTTTTTGCATACATTTGAAAAATTTATCATGCGCTAATTGTAGAGTAGGTATCTAAAGGGACAGATACTACTGCCTCCCTAAAGAAAGTCAAGAAAAATGAAAACAGAGCTTTTTTTTCTTCTGCCTTCCATCTTTCCTCACATCTTCCATTCTTATATTTAAGTCCAAAACCGACAGAAAAATTATAAGCTTTATTTTTAACTTTTTATTTTCTAAACCAGAATGGGCGGGGCATAGTATAAAGAAAAATGACTGGAACACCCACAGACCCCAGAGTCAGAACTGGGGAATCAGCTGAATACTTGCAAGTTCTGTGCACTTAAGCAGCTGCATGCTTTCGGCATCCGGACCTCTAATAGGAGAGTGCATGCTAGTGTTCTGGAATTGACCAGTTTTGAATCCTTCCGTCCTGTGCTGGACCCACCTTCTTGAGGGCTGTGTTTCAGGCATCTTGCTATTGAGCATAAGGCACAGGCTGGAGTTCACACACAAGACTGAGGGCACACGGCGCCCCCTTCCCACTAACTTTCAAATGCACTGGACTAGTGAAAAATAAATCAGCCAGTGGCTGCCATTGAAATCTCTAGGACATCAGTTAGGGAGGTACTCTGCCTTACCTCAGACCATTGCAAGTGCTGATACTAGCTGCAGAATCGAATTCATGTATGATGGACCCTTGGTAAAAACAGTGATCCTAAAACAGATGAGTCAGTTAAGGCAGGTATAAATATATCGGGACTGGAAAAATATTGGTAGCTAGCAATTTCTGTTGAGAATAAACCAGTATTTTATAAGTGACATTTGCAATGTGTTTAAGCACTTGTTTAAGACATTTATTTGAACCTAATTTAGAGACCTTTAATTCTAATTGATTGACTATGTTGGGTAAACCCATATATAAATTATTTTCTCATACATTAATCTATTAGGTGATGAGACCTGTTTCTGATATGACCCTTTTCTTATAAATATGACTCCTTCTCTTATAAATATGACACTTTCTGTCATCCTCCAATCCTCGACAATTTCCCGTCGTTTCCCACGCTGCCTATTAAATCAAGCCAAACTTTCAATGTTTCTAAAATTAGATCTTGCTCTCCAGCCTTTCCTCCCAATGCCCTTCTCTCTTGTTTCTCTGCTTCAGTCCAGCTGGCTTCTTCATTTCTCCCGCTTGGTGCATTGCTCACAGTAATTCCATCAGGCAACGACTCTTTTTACCTCCTCTGTCTGCTCATCATCCCACAGGTGACACTTTCGGTGGCCTTCCAAGTACCTCACACTTGCTAGTCTGTGTTTCTTTTGTCCTCTATTTTAAGCGGGCATGGTGATATAGATCTTAAAGAAGTTTAAAGTTGCTTTATGTAGAGGAAATAGGAGATTTAAAGGCACTTTTGGGCAGAGGAAGTCATTCTCTTGATTAAGGGATATAAAGTTCTGCAAAGGTGATGAAGAAAAGTGAAGATTCTCTAACTCTAGTAATGGTTGGTGTGAAGCTTCCTCTGGAGAATGAAAAGGAGACTTTCATGATAATGTACCAACTAGCTGGACAGGTGTCACAGACCATGAAAGATCTACTTCACTGTAGCTTTGGAGTGTTGTTTCATGTACTTAAGCTTTATCCCTTTTACTTAATTACATCCTATATAGATATGTTATATTTATTTTGGCTCCTGCTTCAGCCTTCTTTCACTTGAGAAATCTTAGCAAAGAAAGATAGAAAACAATCTTTGCTCTGCTTGTTAGGAAGTAATCAGCTCCCTGCGGGGTTCAACGGGTCCTTTGTTCCATCTTATCACCATTTAGTAAAAGTAGTCAACTCAGGGCTAATTCCATTAGAGAAGCTTTGAAATAGCCTGTAAATCTGGCACTGCTCTTTCAAACCACACCAGTAAGTAAAAGTTTCTGAGAGGAGCAGAGGAAAGTTTTACAAGATACCAAGATCGGTGGATGCTTGGTGAGCATCTCTCCCTTTACATTGTAGTATGTCTCACTGTAATTTGAGGCGAGGAATTCCCTGAAAGAGAGAAGAGAAGTAATGAGATTTATTTATTCTAAAATCATTACCCGCAAAACCAGTCATATGGTTGTAAAGCCTCAAAGATGCCTTTGAATCTCAATAAATCCTTTTCTGTACACACACACACACACACACACACACACAATATCAAGCATGTTGATGGGAAACCATTCACAAATTGAACTTCATACTATTAGACATGCTACAGAAAATTCGGGAAAAAAAATTGCGACAATTTTACCAAAGCAGTATTCTTAAAACTTCAGAAAAATAATTTGTAAAGTGCAAATAGGTTTCAAACCTAGTCATGACAGGATGGCTCAACATTTAAAATGAACGAGTGTCATTCACACTATGATCATTGCACAGAATACGACATATGATAACACATATGATCATTGCTCCAGATACGACACTAGTGTGTATAAATGTGACTCCTTCCGTTTGTCTTCAGATCTTCGATACACTGATCCACTTGTGCTAAGGCACAGTAATCCCAAAACACTTCTCAGTGATCTTTCCTAATCAGATAAAGAAACCCATATAAACCGAGTCATGATAAGAAGCCCTTTGACATGCCAACCGGATCTTTCCACATTGATTTATAGTGTCAATAAAATCCTAACTCAAGTTTCAGCAGATGGTTTCTTGAATTGACAAGATGAACTTAAACTTACAAAGAAATGCATCATTACCATCAGCATGTTTTTTAATGCATACATTCTATATGGATATTTAGGAAAACAAGAAACAACAGTGAAGAAGGTCACATAGAAATTTCTCTGTAATTACTAGCTTCCCTCATACTGAGAATGAACAGTAACTCAAGTATGTATCAGTGTGCTAATAGTCGTCTCAGAGAGACAAGATGGCACTCAAAATGCTCCCTATCAAAATAGGAAGAGAAAATTAGTAAACAGAGAGCAGAATCTATAAGCTTTTTGCTGCTAAGATATTACAGGTTTATATTTGAAGAGGAGGAATTAATAAGGTTTTGAGGAATTTACATTACTGGTAGTATGTACAAAAAAAATGGGGCTACTATATTACCTACCCCTATAAGATATGCCACCGCATAGAACTTACCTTGATCTAAGATGAGCATGGTAGTGGACACTTATAATCCTAGCACTAAGGAGGCAGAGGCAGGAGGATAAGGAGTTTAGGGTCATCCTCATCTACATAGTAAATTTGAGGATAGTCTGGGCTATAAGAAACTCTGTAGAAAGAAAACAAGACAACTTACCTTGATTTCAGAAGGTGAAGGATTAAAGTTTTTCTGCCCAATTTTATTTCATACAACAATTCTTCTTCATATGCCTCCTGGAAAACAAGATTCTCCCTGTGACTTTGATATCTGCTTATGTAAGAGGGTGGGTGGAGTGTGGCTCAGGGGCCATAACTCACCTATAGCTCCCCACAGTAACTTCAGGGAAGAAACGCTGAAAAGGTGAACTTAAAGAGAAATAGAACTATACAGATGATTTTCACCAATTATATTTTATTTAAAAAGACATTTCTACTAAAGAAATAAAATGGATAATCTATATTCACCCCTCATTCAGGAATGTATAAATCACTTTATAGTCAATTACTAATTCATATTAACTTGTCTTTATAAAAGACCTTCACTTTTTGTATTTTAAAAAAAGTTTTGTATGTATATTCTCTATATTCTTCCTCTTGTCATCATAATTCTTTGCCACTTCCTCTTATAATTAGTCTCATATAGAAGGTTTTACATATCTGTCAGACATAAATATGAAAAGAACTTAATTTATTTACTCTATATTAATTATCAGAAATTTAGTTTGGGATGTTCATTTAAGCTAGAGTTGTACTGTCTACAACTTGGATAAAATAAATAAGGCTTTTGATATGTACTGGCAAGATACTCTGAAGAAAAGGAACATAGATTTAGAAATTCTACCATCACAGTCCATTGCAGTCATTGCTGGGAATACCAATAGAAGTATCTAGTTATGACAGGCCAGCTTATTAGCTGTAGATGCTGTCAGTAATGAACAATGAAATTCTAGCTCTCTTTTGCCTTTGATGACTATTGGCACAGCTGTTTTCTCCTGGTATAATTATTAGGAATTTGCTAAACATTCAATTCATCATGGTTTTGTTTTAATACTTTGTGAGAATTCTTTATACTGCTGGTTCATAGTTGCTGCTCATATGTGTTGTCCATTCCTTAAGTTAATTCTTAATTTGTTGGACAAAACTACTTCTTCAGGCACAGCAATTAATTGATGTGGGATTCCCCTCTGTATGCTGTGAATATCATTGACTGTTAAAGGAACTGCTTTGGGCCTATAGCATGGCTATAGGGGAACAGAGCTAGGCAGGGAAAACTAAACTGAATGCTGGGAGGAAGAAGGCAGAGTCAAAGAGTTAGCCAATAAGAAGCTAGAGCTAATGGGCCAAACAGTGATTTAATTAATACGGTTTCTGTGTGATTATTTCAGGGCTGAGCAGTCAGGAACCAACAAATGGCCTCCCTCCAACAAATAAAATCAATGGAGTAAGATTTCAAAACCACTTGAGAATATAACACTGAGTTTCCACCCAACCTTCCTATTATTAGCATATTACATCGTTATAGTTTTCACAACTCATGAACCAAGACGGCATTATCCTTAAAGTTCATATGTATTCTTATGCTCTAAATTTTACTGGCTGTCTTTTTGGTTTTGGACAGCCCTAACCCCCATGCCCTGTCTGTTATGGTTGTCTGTCATATCCCCTTGGTTTCTCAACCCATGAGTTTCATGGATTTTCCCTGGTTTTGATGGCTTTAACATTTTTGTCTTGCACTTATCAGTTGCCTTATAGGATGTCTCTTGGGTTTTTGAATGCTCTATGAAGGCTTGACTGCAGTTTATGTTTTTTTCCAATGAAAACCACTAAAGGCAGTACCACAGTGTCACCTCAAGAGGTCGTACTGTCAACATGACTTCTTATGGGTGATGCTGGCTTTGGTCACCTGGCAGACATCTTAGTTATTTACAATCTTCTCTTTAGAAAGTGACTTTTCTTCTGCCCTATGCTTCACTCTTCGGAATGAAGTCATAGTGTGAAGCCCATGGTTAAGGGGTGGAGACCAACACTATACCTCCTGGAGAAGGGAAGATGAATAGAAATACTCAGTTCTGTATGGAACATTGGCCTATCCTCTGATGTGGGCTTATTTATTTTCTAATTTATTTGTATTAGTAAAGCTTCATGGATACTTCGTAATTTATCTTGCTGCAAAATAAGCAAACATCATTTATCTTACTCTTCATATTGTCCTATATTTTCTTTTAGGGGCTCTATAAGTTGGCTCTTGATTTCATTTGATATGTCCCCACATATGTGGATTTGGGTTTGGGGGCAGGTCTTTTGCTTCAGGAGGGACACTTTTCGGTTCCAGGCTCACCCCATACATTTCCTCTATGGACCAGGCTAATTTTACACAGAGTGAAGCTTCTGATATAAAGCATGGCTATCATAAGGCCACAGCTCGTGCATAGGGGACGATAGGAAGCAGGTTCCCCCTTGGCTAGGTGTTAGCCTTTTAACTACATAAAGACCTGAAAAGATGAGGAAAGAGTTGACGATCAGAAGGAAGAGCGCAGAGAGCTGCCTCATTGTTGCATCAAGTCCTGAGACCATGTGAGAAGCTGAAATATAGCTTTCTAATGACTGAGAAATCTAACAAGTGAGGAAAGGAAAACGAGCTGCCACCATGGGAAAGGGAAGAAAGGTCATGGCACCAGCAGAAGTTTGTCCTCGGTCATTGTTAGGACAGGAGACCTGTTAGTATTTTCTGTGAACCCAAGTTAGAATCTAGGTTGTAGCATGCAAGTATCTAATTCCAACTTTCGGAGGACACATATCTAAGATCTTTATAATCTTGGATTTTGAATAAATTATAATGCTTGTCCCATCTTATGTATATTGTCTTATATGGTAAATATTTTTTGAAAGTAATCTTTTAGGTATTTTTAAATGTTAATACTCAGGACCTTTGCAAGGTAAGGTACTTTGTTCCCGTGAAAGCTGTCCCTTTGGGGTACAGAATCTGTATAACGAATAAGTCTGCCACTGAAAATCCACAAAAGCAAAATAAAGGCTGGAGAGTGTATGCCAAGGTCACCAGCTCAGAAAAATTGAGGGTGCATTACACAAGTCTGCAAAGAGAAATAGAAAATAGTTCCCTCAAAGCCTGAGCAGTCCTCTTTTTTTTTTTTTGTTTGCTAACACACCCACTGAGGGTCAGTTACCCCCAAGCTTATGCTGTAAACCAACTGGAGGTCCTCTACAAAACTGAAACCCATATTTGCTTCATACTTGCTCCTGCTCAGAGGCAGAGGCAGCTTTCTGCACTGTCAGAACCCAAACAAAAGAATGCCATGGTAAACAATGCCTTGGGAACTTTGTGAGAGTCTCCAGGAAAAAGGCAGAGGGCCTTTTACCTCAAGTGCATTTTGTTCCCTAGATTGTTCGTGGACATGACTTCATGCCTCCTGTGTTAAACATTTACATTCAATTTGTAAGACATGTTTATTCTTGTTGGGTGTCAGAACATAGCCATAGAACCCAATCTGGTGAAAGTGTACCCTGAATCTGGAGATGGCCTTCTGCGTTGCTTCCATGCTTTCCCAGACATTATCTACAAAGTTTGTGCCAGGCAATTGTGTTTACATTGGTCTGTCTTAAGAAAGTTCTGGGAAAGGGCTTCGCTGTCAATAGTTAGTATGTGCTCACTGGCATTTATTTACATGTTTTTCTAAACTCAAACAACCTTACTTGGATCATCATCGCTTTGTTACATGTGTGTATAAAAGTACAGCGAGGCTGAACGAAGATTGTCTACAGCATGAGAGTATAGTTCGCCGTGTTCCTTAAGGTCCTCAAAGACAGATCTGCAGGGCGTAGTTAAAAGTCACCACTGCACAGCTGTGAAAGCCATTAAGTCATATTTACTAAGTCAAAACACATACCGGCATATCAGAGTCATGGGTGTGCTCAAGATCCCGCTTCCGTATCAGGGGAAGCTTTTTAGGACGAACCAGTTGTTGACCCTCTACTCCAACAATCCCCTTTTCTAGAAGAAAACATAAAGAAGGGAAAATCCATGTATGATTATAACCCACCCTCTAGTGATGAACAAGTGGATTGATGCTCATCTAGCTCAGGTGTTTCCAATTGCCAGCCATGCAGTCACGTCATCCTTGGTTGGTGATGGGAAAGAGTTGAGATGGCTATTTACAAAGAAGGGAGACACAAGCAACACTAGCAGAAGGACAAAGATACAGTGTCCTATGGCTGTTTTGATCTTTGTTATTTTTATTTTCTACATCTCTCTCCAGATACTGTCTCCTGTCAAAGCCTGTACAGGAATGGCCTGTTTCAACATTAAATAACTCCTTTTTCCCCTCAGTGAACTATGCATTAGAAGTCTTAACTCTTAAAGGTAGAGTTCAAAGCTTCCACTGCTGAAATAATATGAGATAGCCCCGCCACCATGCTATACATTATCTTTTGTCATGAACTATCACATTGGCAGTCAGATGTGAGTTTATTCTGAATTGTGTATGGCAATAAATATAGAATAATATGGATTTCTGGAATGTTACTCAGATTTGAATCAAGGGTTCACCAGTTTATGAGCTGTATGAGCACTAGTATTTTATCGAATCTCATCTGCCAACAGTATTTTCATATTCTTTATCACTAAAAGGGAAAATAGTATAGCATTTTAAATATTCTCCATGACATAAAAGGTAGCTAAGGATCAGCACGGTGTCTGTTCTTCTACAGGTGTTTTGTCAATACTCATTCCTGTCCCTGTCTCATTATTGTCCATGTTTAAGAGTGATAAGGGCTTCCACAGACTCATTAAATCTCAGGACCAATGATAACCCAATCTAAGCCTGACACGATAGCCTAAGAGAAGTCACCAAAGCAGTTAGAGCTTTTATAACTTACACTTTAAATATTGTAGCAAAAGATATCATGGATCAGGCGTAATAAATAATCCTTGCAGAAAAGAGTAACACATACCTTCAATCTGAGAAATAAGTACAGTCATCCAAAATATACGTATGGGGAACATTCTGAGTGGTTATCTGAGAAAAGCTGCACCCTACTCCTTGTTCTTGCTTCTACTGCAAGGATGCCCAGCCTAGAAGGTAAATTGGCAGTTTTGATCCTCCACAGGAAACCCTCCTCGACCCAGTTAACTCATGAACGGCTTGAGGCTAAAACTCAAAGGTGGACATAATGTACTAATTAAAGACAACATTTGAGATACTGGGGGTGGAAGTGGACTTGGCACAGATCCTGTTTCATGTCTAATAGGATCGTAGAGGTTTTAAGACTTTTGAGGTTCAAAGAGTCAAGAATGTTTTAGGAAAAGTGATCATTGAAGTCTATTTATATATATTTTGGTTGAGGTAGATGAAGTAGAGGACCAAATATAAAAAACACTTGAGAACACTGAACAACAACAACAAAAAACCAACAACAACAATAAATAAAACCCCCCAAAATAGAAAAGTCAAAATTGTATACATGTTACAAATCATATATTAATTAAATACAAAAGGCATATTGAAAGGGAGATATAAGTAGCATTATAGTGTAACACTTTTTCCTAACTAACAAAGAAAGAAGATACAGACAGATGTGCAAAGGGTCAACAACAAGCCTTTCTACACATCTGTGCAATCTTCTAATGTCAGTGCATCCACTGTGTTTCCATTTGGGTTGCATCCCGTCTCCTCCTCCAATTCTCACCGTCTCGCCCAATTCACCCCAGATAATCAGCTTCTTTCCATTTAAGCAAACTCACCATACTCCCAGAAATTCCTCCACTATCTGATTGGGAGTCTAGTCACTCTGTTTCTTAACCATCTTCTTTTCAGCTCAACTCCTTCCGAGACTTCGCTCAACGTCCGGCGGTCGTTTTCCTCTGTCTCATTTATCTGTCTAAACTGACATCTGAATTTAAGACCCTTAGGGGAAATTTTCTTCACTTGAATGTCCGCTATCTCAAATGTTAGCATAAAGTTGAACATCTACTATCATCCTTGGAGTCATTTTAGTCTCTTCATAGTTTCTTCATAGACTGTCTTGTTTTGAATACAGCAGCTGCATCTTTTCACCCACGCCAGACTTATCTTTCAGTCTCCTCTGCCAGCGTGTATCTCCTCTATCAGCAAACCCAGTTTGTCCTGAAGAGATAGCTGATAATCTCTCCCATGTCCTTCTCCTGTGCTGTTCCAAGACATCATTACCTCTACCCTAGTTTACTGAAATAACATCCTAATTTATCTCACTATTTTTCTCTTGGTCCTTTGTCACACATTATGTACACAAATAGGATGAGTTTATCAATACACATCTTATCTAACCACTTCTTTTCAATAACTTTTCATCTCAGAGTCAAAGTCTGTGGTAACATCAGGCTCCCCATGATCTCTGCTTTGACACTTTGTTTTCACATTTTACTATTTATTTTCTCCCAATCAACTGCCATGTGCTTCTGAGTATTCCTGGAGCATGCCACATACATTCTACTTCAAGGGTATTGCCTGGAATGTTCTCTTCAAAGATAGTCACATGACTTGATCCCCCTCTCTTTTCAGTTCTCTATATAAATATCCTATCAGTGATAATGTTCCATGCAAAATGTTTTATGCAAAATGGGCCTCTGTGGCCCTGAATTAATCACCACTTCAAATCATGCATTTACTAATCTATTTTATTTTTCAATTACCTGACCACTCTTCTTAAAATGAAACTTTCTAAAGAAAAAATTCATCTGTTTTATAAATTAATCTTCAGTACCTTGAGTAGCATGTAATCAAAGCATATTTATTGAGTGAACACCTTATTAAACTTGGAGTAATATCAGTTTCAGAGTATTTATTAAAAGTAAATTGTTGGGGCCTGAATAGATGGTTCAGCAGTTAAAAGTCCATCTTGTTTTTATAGAAGACCTGAGTTTGGTTCCCAGCACCCAAGTTGGATGGTTCACAGCTGCCTATAACTCCAATTCTGGGGATCAGATGCCCTCTTCTGGCCTCCATGTGCGCTGCACTCACAGGTGCAGACACTCCTCCAGTCATACACACTGGTACACGTAATTTAAAAATGAATATAGAAAATTTTAAAGTAAGCTATAATTATTTCAGTATCTAATCATTAGGAAGTTCAACAGTGAAGTAAATAAATACATCCTCCGAGTCTGAGTTTCAGCAGTTAAATTTTCAGCATCATGTTTGGTTCCAAGTTCCAGGTTCTCTTACTGTCTTTCTTCACCTGAAAAGCCTCTGGTTATAGTTGTCTTTCTATCTCCACCAGGTCGTTAGAAAGTATGTAGTGATTATTGATTAATTATGGTATTAGTATAAAAGGAGATCACTAGACCAGTGAAATGAATCAGGACATCTACAGACAAATACAAATATTTATAGCTAAGATCACAGGGACATGGATGGGAAAGACATTTATTTCAGCAAATACTGCCAAGAAAACTGGCCTTCTATGAACAGAAGAATGAAAGCTGGCTACTAGCTCTCATGATTTAGAAAAATCCACCTCAGTTGGATCAAGACTTAAATCTTTGACCTGGAACCATGAAGTTCTAGAAGTAAACAAACAGAAAGATTCCAAAGGATTGAAATGAGAAGAATGCTTCATGGGTAAGTACCAACAAACACTAGAGGTAAAGGGAGGTTGGGAAAAACAGGATTCTGTGAAGTGACAAAGGTCTACACCAATAAGGAAACCAATATCAGAATGAAGAGATAACCTCCAGAATTGGAGAAAGTGTTAGCAATCTAATAATGGGTTAAAAAAGAACTCTATCTGACTTGAAAGCAAATAAACTCGCCCAAAGTCTCACTAATGAAGTCAGCTTGTAATTTTCTTTGCAGAACAGGAGCCAATTTCAGCCCATTAATTATGTTTTCAGTGCACTGAAAAGAACATCACATTCAGAATCGGGAGCTGTGTGTTCTCCATTAACTGATTCATCTACCCTTAGAAAGTCATTTATTTCTCTGGACATCAGTGTCTGATTTATAAATAGGGAGTATTATAATGTTTAACCTTGAAGAGGTTTTCAACATCAAGATGCCATGTTTCCATACTCTGATTCTGTGTTTCTTTTACCAAGGTCTACTTTGAGTAGAAAGTGTCATTTTAAAAAGAATGAAAAGTAAAATACAACCATGAAAAATTAAACATTTTGAAAAGTATTTTCCATTTCACAAATGAGACAAAAACACAGATTTTTTTCTATTTATATGCATAGAAAATATCTCAGGATGAATACAACAAAATATATAAATATTAACACATTCTGATTACTTAAGGGTACAAGGGCACATAGAAGGCTCAGAGCACATAAAATGTACAGTATCATCTCTAATCTATTGATCTCGTTAGTCATCTGTTGTCACTTCAGATGATTTTCTTTATCTTTAAACACATTCTAGCAATTCTCCTGAGCATGTATCCTCTTCTATAAACCTCACTAGTTTTCAAAAACACTCAGAAATCATTTTAAGATATCACTGTGTCCCAGGTTCTTGAATTTTCTGCTAAAGACACTCTCTCAAATCTTTGTCCTCAATGTTCTGCACAACCTTCTCGTCAAGCCATCGGTGACCTTCAGATTTTAAATGCAATTACCTTTCTCAGCATTTATGCTCGATTTCCTGACCATTTCTCTTTCCAAGCTATAGAAGATATTTTTTTTTCTTGACCAATAGCTTAGGGTTTTTTCCCCACATGGTTGCTTTCTCTTAACTCGCCCAACATTTCTCTTCATAATCCAGACTTTTGAATACTAGAGAGTCTCCAGGGTTCACTTATTTCACTTGCTGTGTCTTCTGTCTACAAAAACTTAGTGAACCTCAAAAATACTTTCATGAATTTGCTTTTCTCTATTTTCTGCATTTTAATGTGTCATAGATAATACACAAACTAAATGATGATCTTGATCTCCAAAACCCTTCCTCCAAATATTTTTCTTCTCTCAGAGAAATGAACACTGCCACTATGACTGTACAAGCCAAAGGCACTGAAGTCATCGGGAATGCTTGGCTTTCTGCCCCTTTCAGTGTAACCACCCTGATTAAACCCACAATCAGCTCACACTTGAATTTCTACAACTTATTTATTTATTTATTTGTTTTTTTTTATATAATTTTTTATTGAAAAAAAAAAGAAAATTTCCGCCTCCTCCCC